TGAAGGCGGTTCAAAGTCAGATGTTAACTTTCAGCTTACAATGCAAGGATCTACTGCAATTTGAGGTGAACTATCATGGCTACTATCCCTTCAACAGATCATGGTATGAACCAATTTAAGTACAGGAATTGATTATATGCAGAGGGCAACATGATCTCTTGCCTTAATATTATCTGTTGCATTTTTGGAAGAAATGATATGATCTTCCATGATAAAGCTATTTAGCAAGTAGAAGTGTAGAACCACATATGACTTCACTATTCATGATGGGGTCTTCAAGAAAAATGTCCACCAGGAAGTAGCTAGGTATATCATGACTCACACGACCCGTCACACATTTGCAGTTTCTTCATGATCATTACTAATTTCATTGTCAATGACCTAATATATTAGTCCAAGGCAATGCTTCAACGTCATCATACCTTGACAGAGAAGTAAGCCCATACATTTGGCTTGCTTTTAAAATTCAGCTCCTGCAACAATTCAATTAAAATAAATCAACTTAATCGTCCATGTCAGAGAGCATAGAAAGCACCAACCCTGTCTTATAAAAAATAACCTGCACTTTCCCACTGGTAGGCTTAAAACCGTCATCTGGGTCCTCGCTTGTTACTCTCACAGCAACACAATGCCCTTTAGGCCTCACAGATTCTGCTTTATCAAAGTCAAATGGAGTTGCACCCTTTGATGTCTTCTTCCAAGCATCATAACCTCCACCATGATCCATTCCATAGAACCGCCTGATTTCTGAGGAGCATAATCATGATCCCATAGGTAAAACAGATTATATACAGAAATTCCTAAGTTATTGATTATTATATTATGCTCATACCAGGGATTTGCCAGAGAGGGATGCCCATGCCAACTGCGACTTGAGCCGCTGGCAAATTAATTTCAGCTATCCACTCAGTCACAGGATGCTCCACCTAAAAGGAGCAACCCTTAGAAGTCAAGAAAAGAATTTGCATAAATGTTGCATATTATATTGGTTGGAAGCAAGATACAGACCTGTAACCTTGGGTTGAGTTCTAGAAAATAGTATTCACCAGTCTCCATGCTATAAAGATACTCAACAGTGGCAGCACCAACATATCTCACAGACTTAGCAAGCCTCCTTGCCGCCTGCTCAAGTTTTTTTACCGTCTCCAGTGGAGCTACAGTGATTGGACCTTCCTCGATAATCTGTTTAGGGGAGAAAAAAAATCAAGTGGTGACTGAGGAAGTTTCTATATAGGACTTATGCAAGGGATGCAGAAAAAGATATAATATAAATTAAAGAAGCAGGTAAACCAAGAGAAACTAGAAGATACAGGATTTTGTATAATTGAGATCTGTATACATTAAAGGAGCATGGTGAACCAAGAGAAATTAGAAGATACAGGATTTTATATAATTGAGATCTGTTGCAGTACACAATGAACATAGGCTTCCTCAAATAAACCCACATTCAACAGGTAATAATCACGTTGGATCAAAGCTTTGGGCATGAGAAGGTTATATTATATAGCAGTAATTAGAAAATTTGAGAGTGCATACTTTTTGATGCCGTCTTTGCACACTGCAATCTCGACTATGAAGAGCAGCAACATTACTGTCTTGATCACAAAGTAACTGAACTTCAAGATGCCGGCTCTACAAGAAGAAATCAAATCAAGAAAACTGTTCAGTTAGAAAGTATAAACTGAAAATATATTGCAAGAGTACTATGCTATATTAAATTAAAAGATATCCACTAAGGATCAACTAAACCCATTCGAGGGCTTGCTTAAGAATAAGAAAGAGGAATCTTATGGAAATATCATGGAATAAGGTTTGACCCTATTCATGGGGATTCTGTAAATATCCCATTCAATTCGAACTTGCTCGATCTTTGTAACTGCAAACTTATAATGCAATCACATTCTCTGGTCTAATTGCTACTTTTGTTTCTGTATTCTTGATTTATCCACTAGGTCAGTCTTGTTGGTTCTTTGCGCCCAGTTTTGGTGTAGCAACTATATTTCGATTCATCCTCTTCTTCCAAGGGTTTCACAATATTGAACCTATTTCATATGATGGCAGTTGCCGAAGTATTAGGTGTTGCTCTGCTATGCACTATTCACAGTGCTATAGTTGAAAATACTTCATTAAAAGATGGTAACGGTGCAAATACATTCCGTGTTTTAACCCAACTCAAGCCGAAGAAACTTATTCAATGGTCATTGCTAACCGCTTTTGGTCCCAAATCTTAGGGATTGCTGTTTCCAATAATTGTTGGTTACATTTCTTTATGTTATTTGTACCAGTAACTGGTTTATGGATGAGTGCTCTGTAGGTAGTCGGTCTGGCTTTGAACCTACGTGCATATGACTTTGTTTCCCAAGAAATCCGCGCAGCAGAATATCCTGAATTTGAGACTTTCTACACTAAAAATACTCTCTTAAACAAAGGCATTCGTGCTTGCTTGGATGGCGGCTCAGCATCAGCCTCATGAAAACCTTATATTCCCTGAGGAGGTTCTACCCTGTGGAAACGCTCTTTAATGGAACTCTAGCTTTAGCTGATCGTGAATGTTACCGTTTATTTCTCAGACAATTTTCAACTTAATAATGTAGAATTATCTCCATCACTGAAAAAAACACATTCTCCACTCATATATAAGCCAAACATGTGCAGCAATTTGTGATTAATAGGAGGTAAAGATGTTAATGTTTGATAATGAAGGTGTTCACTCACAATAGCCTTAAACTACATGTAGTGCAATCAAGCTTTTTATCACAAATTTTTAGTGATATATATGCTAGCTCACCTGTGATGCAACCTTCATTATAAATATTGGAGATCCAGGAACTTCCCCTTGCACTTGCTTAAACAACGCTCTTACCTCATCGTCATTGTGGACCTACAAAAATAGTGGAAAACTGTTTATATAACAGATTAAATATGTAACTACTGCTATAAGTGCATAAATGAATCTGCAGGATAAGTGGAGGATATGTTTATATTTCTTCCTTTCTCCGATAGTATCATGATTAGGATGTCTTCCGCATTCCTTCAAAGCATATGTTTTGCATAATATTGAAGACCATAATTCCACTTTGAATTGATATACATCAACTTTGATGAACAAGTGTAGACAAACAAACAGCTAATCACACAAAGAAGTGAAAGAACATATGTCCTTTCAACTTCAGTACTTATAAGGTAGAAGGGGAAAAGAAGCAAAACCTTTCTTATCCCTTTACCACCACCACCCCAAGATGCCTTAATCATTGCGGGGTACCCCACCACCTGGCAACTAGCCAGTGCTTCCTCCGTCGTATTAACACAAGCCTCCCGATATACATCATCAGGGATTGTGTCCAGGCAACTCCCTGGTTCAATTTTCACCTGTGAAAGCAAAGCAAAAAATTATAGATAATAATAACTAAAGTTAGTATAGGCATATGAAAAATAGAAGTTGTTAAAGACTCACATGTGAGCCACTCCATGGGAGGGTTGGTACTCCAGCTGCTTGGGCAATCAAAGAAGAACCGATTTTATCACCTAGTGCGGACATGGATGCGGCTGGCGGCCCAAGAAATATAATCCCCTTTGCACTCAGTGCATCTGGAAGCTCAGGGTTTTCCGATGCATGGCCCCAACCAGGCCATACAGCAGAAACTCTTGTTATCTCCGCCATCTAACATAAAAGAGTTAGTTCATACGTCAAATAATTGATATGAAACAGAAAGGAATAAGGGGGGAAATGTGAAGAGAGTCAACCTCCACAATGAGTTGAACATTGGCATAGTTGTTATTGTTCGTTCCACCAGGAACTTCCACAAATTGGTCAGCAATTCTAATGTGCTCGGCGTTAATCCTCAAGTCTTCAGGGGTTGCCATGGCAGCCAAAAGTATTGCCTTCTCTGTTCCAAAGGTCTCATAGGCCCATGTCCTAACGCTTCGCATGAACTTAACAGCTGCCATCCCATTGTTTGCCACCAAAATACTGTGGATGGGTGTCTTCCCACCAAGAGCCTTGCAGAAGTCGGCGACTTCTGATAATGTAGATGCATGTTTGGCTTGAACCATTCCATTTGTAATCCCATTCTTACGCCAAGTTTCAGCCATGATTGATCCTCAATTAAACTCAGGGTCAGTTACTGTCGCAAACAAAAAGAAATTCCAATAGTTAACTACTACCAAGTAAATTACAAGAGTAACAATTTGCATGCCTTGAACTTCCTTGCACTTAACTACAGCTCTTATGGTTATCTACATACAAAATGTAAAATTTTAAACATGAGACAACAAATACTGATATGAAGACATTGAAATCGCTCTTTCGTCTGCTTTCTCCTCTCTAACATAAGGATGTGAGAAGTGAAATCTGGCATAAGAATAAAACAAAGCAGTATGTATAACACCTGCAACCTAACAATGAATGACTCACGTGTTGCCAAAAGTAACTAACCCAATTACAGAATTTGAAAATTATATCAGGAAACAGTTGAAAAATAATCATATTAGTTCCATAATGGGAATTCAGTTGCTTTCAGCCTCGCCTTAAATCAGAGAAGGGGGAGAGAGAATGCCTGGGAAATACAACTTGTTCCTTTTAATCAGAGAAAGAGAAAGAGAGACAAAGATTAAAACTTTACCCAGCGCAGATAAAAAATGACGCAAGATCTCGAGAAATTAGTCAGACCCAGATCACGATTCGATCCAAAACTCCTCTTTGTTCGTCAGTGAGGGAGACCGAAGTGCCCAAAAGAGAAGAAACTGAGGAAGAGGAGTGAGAGAGGGAGGGAGGGAGGGGGAGAGAGAGAGAGAGAGAGAGAGAGTATGAGAGAAAAAAAGAGGGTTAATGGTTTCAAATCAGAAAGGAAGAAAGAAAGAAATAAAGAAGGGCCACGTGATATCCGCCCGCTTCCTTCCCTCGTTCAATAGCAGAAGCCCCCCACTATTTGAGAAGAGAGAGAGAGAGGAGTTAGTAGTGGTAGCTCCCAACTACTCCCCATCCAACCTCATTCAACGCCAAGATGAGACGCATCATCATTAAGTAATGAGTCCAAAGATCAAATCTTTGGCTCCTCAAACTCCACCATGCCTTCAAATGAACAAGTGGGCAATTCTCATTCTCTCACTTCTTCCTCCCCTTTTTCTATTTCAGGGTAAGAAAGGTGTCCTTTCTCTCATTACTTCTTTGTTTTTAACTGGCGTCCGAGGGTGAGAAAGGGGGAAGCTATAAGCTTTGGAGATGTTGGTAGTTGGAAACTTGGGTGGCTTGTTTTTGTTTTGTTTAGTTTTGACTTTTAAGCGTTTGGTGTTTCTGATCACCAACCAATCTACATTGGGTTATTGCCCCGTTTTGTTTTGAGATAGTTTTACCCCCTACTGGATGTGCAAAGTTTTGTTTTTTGATTATTAATTCCGTTAGTCGGATCATTAACTTTCCCCTAGAATCACGAAACAGTCTTCTCAATTTCAAAACAGTTAGCATAGCTACTTATGTCTTACTCTTGTATCATGTAAACTTTACTGTAGAGACATTTTTAAAATAGACTCATTTACAACTTTATTCCTCAACATCAACCCATTTCATACTTATTTACAAAAATCAATTCAATTTCAGTCACGATAGCAGCGCAAGCTGAATCTATGTCGATTTAAAAAAATGCTTCTTTCTAGTTAGTTCGATTTTTAACCCCGACTAATTAGGCGCTAGTTTAATTACATAGGTTAGTTGTAGGGGTTGAAATTGCAATTAAAAACAGTCACGGTTGCTAACCCTAACTATTTTGAAATGTAATTAACCAGGTTTCTAATTAGTTGGGTTTGGCAACTCCGACTATTTAGAAAGAGTTGTGTTTCTCAAAATCGACCTAATCAACCCACACTGTTGAGGTGGCCGAAACTAAGTCGATTTTTGTAAATAAGTTTTAAATAGATCGATCAGTTTTGATGAATAAAGTTGTAAACTAGTCTATTCTGAAAGTTTCTCCTTTGCCATGTGAAGGCATCATTAAAATATAACTACAACTCATAATATTAGTAAGGCTGGCCGAACCAACCAATAACCCTCTGTATAATGAATGATAATAGGTCATTAGTGGAGATTTAATGAGGGCCATTATGAAAATTTTAAATTAGGATTGGCCTTAAGATCTGTGCCTCTTTTTCTTATTTCTTTTATTTTTTATTATGAAAATTTTAAATTAGGATTGGCCTTAAGATCTGTGCCTCTTTTTCTTATTTCTTTTATTTTTTTGGGAAAATTGCTTGGAGGAACTCCAAAAAGTTTGGGCTATGCATCCTCTTCCCCGGCTAAAAAACTCATGCTCTCTAACCCTCATACTCGAACTTTAGAGCAACTATCCCCCAACATTGTACAAGCCCACTACCCAATAAAGTTATTCTGAAAGTACCCTTCCCATTTAAAATAAAAAAACCACTATGAAAATCCCCTTCTGAGCACGATTTTTAAAACCCGACTAATTCAATTTCAGTCACGATAGCAGCGCAAGCTGAATCTATGTCGATTTAAAAAAATGCTTATTTCTAGTTAGTTCGATTTTTAAACCCGACTAATTAGGCGCTAGTTTAATTACATAGGTTAGTTGTAGGGGTTGAAATTGCAATTAAAAATAGTCACGGTTGCTAACACTAACTATTTTGAAAGGTAATTAACCAGGTTTCTAATTAGTTGGGTTTGACAACTCCGACTATTTAGAAAGAGTTGTGTTTCTCAAAATCGACCTAATCAACCCACACTGTTGAGGTGGCCGAAACTAAGTCGATTTTTGTAAATAAGTTTTAAATAGATCGATCATCAACCCACACTGTTGAGGTGGCCGAAACTAAGTCGATTTTTGTAAATAAGTTTTAAATAGATCGATCAATTTGATGAATAAAGTTGTAAACTAGTCTATTCTGAAAGTTTCTCATTTGCCATGTGAAGGCATCATTAAAATATACATACAACTCATAATATTAGTAAGGCTGGCCGAACCAACCAATAACCCTCTGTATAATGAATGATAATAGGTCATTAGTGGAGATTTAATGAGGGCCATTATGAAAATTTTAAATTAGGATTGGCCTTAAGATCTGTGCCTCTTTTTCTTATTTCTTTTATTTTTTGGGAAAATTGCTTGGAGGAACTCCAAAACGTTTGGGCTACGCATCCTCTTCCCCAGCTAAAAAACTCATGCTCTCTAACCCTCATACTCGAACTTTAGAGCAACTATCCCCCAACATTGTACAAGCCCACTACCCAATAAAGTTATTCTGAATGTACCCTTCCCATTTAAAATAAAAAAACCACTATGAAAATCCCCTTCTGAGCACGATTTTTAAAACCCTCTGCAACCAATTTTATCATCACCTTCTTCCTCTACAAACCTTGCTCCTCTACCGCCGGCGACGAGAACCCTGACCGCCGACGAAAACCCCTACAACTTTGATCCATCTTTTTCGTCGCTCCTTGGTCGTATTCGCTCCGTCATCACCCCTTACGGCCAGAAGAAGGAAGCTTCTCTTGTGTTGTGTTTTATAGTAAGTGTAATATCAGAATATGTTGTAATATACGTAGATATTGTGAATTCATGGATAAAATTGTTCCACGAATGAGGGCCGAACATTGAAAGGCTTATGGATCCTCCAATTTCCAAAACTATATTATTTTTGGAGCAATTCCATCTGATAAAGCCACAATCATGCTACTGATAGATCACCTAGATTTGGCTATTAAAAGTTTTTTTTCAAGGATAACCAAACAGGGAAAAAACAGGCATATACATTTAATGTAAATTGGGTAGAAAAACATACTCGGTTCAAGGATGAAGGAAAGAAACCGGAAAGGAATCACGATACGTTGAATAGGATATGGAATACATACTTCAGCAACAAGCAACACAATGCTTATAAGGGTGACAAAGATTACCTTAAGGCCTTATTGGATAAACTAGTTGGGTCAAAAAAATCAGATGTTTTTGACTTTGTTATGCTTCAAATCATTTATCAACTCACAATGATATGGACTCCAACTACTAGAATGAACGCACTGCAGCATATGTTGAAGTATATGACTCGGATAGATGTAGTTGATCATTTCCTATGGGTGAGCATCATCTATAGTGAATTGTAGGATTCTCTAAAAACTGCCAAAGTAGCTAAAAAGGACTGACATACTTCAGTGGTTGCGCTTCCTTGCTATCGGTGAGTTATTTGTACTATTTGTAGTAAATATATTACGTTTGCCCCTTATTTGTGATAATTATTTTACATGTGATATACGTTAGTAATATGTGACATTGGTCCCCCACATGTGATATTGATCCATGATTTGTATTACTTAATTGTGATATTTGTAGTTAATATGTGACGTTGGTCTCTAATTGAGATATTGGACGTTTACATGTGACATATATTACTGATATGTGATATTTGTGATAGTTTTAACCTGTGATAAGTGATATGAAATGAGCTGACTTTATTGAACGAATGTTGCTTTTTTGAAGCTACGGTACTATGACATAACAAACATTAAGGAATACGCCAGAGTCAATGATTTCAAGCCACCCATGACAAATTGGACTCTAGAAGGTAAGAAAGTGGGTTCATTGCGGAGTGTAACAATTTTGGAGAAGTTAGAAACCGCAATCCACATCTTACTAGAGCAAGATATACCGCGGTACGTGCATGATGAGATTAAGCAAGAGCCTACAAAAAGGAAGGCTAAAAGAGAGGAGAAATTGGACTCTGAACACTCTTTAAGAAACAAAAGAGTTAAAAAAGATGAAGGGAGTCAATCGACTGTTGCATTGGTGAGACAAGTTTATTTCTTATCATGTGATGTTTATATTTTGATAGCGATAATAGTCTTTCATGTGATTATTTTTTATTTAATGTGATAGTTATATTTACTCTGTGAAAATAAGTGTTACTCTGTGACTTTTACCTATTTTTTGTGACATTAACATGTAATTGTGATACATTATTAATTTTGCCAATTGGTTATTCTCTGTGACAATAAGCAGTTTATTGTGATAGATATAGTGTTTATGTAATATTTATGTGTGACCTTCTGTAGACAATAAAAATTGTCTTTAATCCCTATCAAAGAAGTTCAGAACAAGACTGCTAAAACCTCGCCTGAAATAATAAAAAAAGGGAAAAACACTGATATCTCTCAAACCGGAAGGAATTTGGCAAAACAGACAGGAGCAAACCAAACCCTATGGGGTAGGTTTGGTCAGCTCTGTCTCGTCGAGATAGTCAATTTTTATATATAATTCGTCTAATTCCGAGTTATAGTTTGAAAGTTACGACCTGCTCTTCATAGCATGTTCTGGAGCTCGCCTAAAGAGCAACCCCGCCTATAAAAGAGTTTAGCTCGCCTGAAGGCTTCAAGCTTTAAGCTCACATGAATGAGGCTGGATCTCCTTTACAACCTCGCTTACCAAGCTCGCCTGCATATTTGAAGCTCGCCTGCACAAGGAAAGCTCGCCCGACAGTTGGGAGCTCGCCTGCATGACCCAAGCTCGCCTGCACACTTGAAGCTCGCATGCACACTTGAAGCTCGCATGCATGTTTGAAGCTCGCCTGCACAAGGCAAGCTCGCTCAACAGCTGGGAGCTCGCTTGACGATCCCCTTAGGCTCGCCTGACAGCTTGAAGCTTGCCTACATGATCCAGGCTTGCCCGAAGGCAAGTTCGCCTACACAGCCTAGCCTGCAGAGCTCGCCTGACAGCTTAAAGCTCGCCTACATGATCCATGCTCACCTGAAGGCAAGCTCGCCTGACAGCTTGAAGCTCGCCTTACATGTGATATACATTAGTAATATGTGACATTGATCCCCCACATGTGACATTGATCCTTGATTTGTATTACTTAATTGTGATATTTGTAGTTAATATGTGACATTTGTCTCTAATTGTGATATTGGACGTTTACATGTAACATATATTACTGATATGTGATATATGTGATAGTTTTAACCTGTGATAAGTGATATAAAATGAGCTGACTTTATTATACGAATGTTACTTTTTTGAAGCTACGGTACTATGACATAACAAACATTAAGGAATACGCCAGAGTCAATGATTTCAAGCCACTCATGACAAATTGGTGACAAATTGGACTCTAGAAGGTAAGAAAGTGGGTTCATTGCGGAGTGTAACAATTTTGGAGAAGTTAGAAACCGCAATCCACATCTTACTAGAGCAAGATATACTGCGGTACGTGC